GTACCGATGAAGAAAAAGTATATTTGTTATAAATCGACTACGTTACTTATATTCGTAAGTAAGTAGGGTTACGAATCCCGCTGAGGGTGTTGATAAGACCAATGCGAGGTCGAAACTGCAGTCCACTTCTGTCTGGGATGAGAACAACTTTTGGGAAAGCAAAACTATGTGAAATTGAATGGAAACGTCAGCTCAACTCATGTCATTGTAAGAACAACTTTTGGGAAAGAAAGGCTATGTGAGATTCAATGGAAAAGTCAGCTAAACTCATATCATTATGTTTTTGGGAAAGCAAGGCTATGTGAAATTCAATGGAAACGTCAGCTCAACTCATATCATTGTGGGAAAATCTTTGGGAAAGCAAGGCTATGTGAAATTCAATGGAAAAGTCAGCTAAACTCATATCTGCTATATCATATTCTTTTTGTGAAATTCAATGGAAACGTCAGCTCAACTCATATGATTGTGGGAAAATTCGTTGGGAAAGCAATACTATATGAAATTCAATGGAAACGTCAGCTCAACTCATATCATTGTGGGAAAATTCTACTTGCAAGGCTATGTGAAATTCAATGGAAAAAGTCAGCTTAACTCATATCATTGTGGGAAAATTCTACTACCATTCCCTTAATGTGAAAATTCAATGGAAAAGTCAGCTAAACTCATATCATTGTGGGACAATTCTACTACCAGTCCTTCATCAACTTACACGAAATAGGGTGAATACATCTCATTACACTGATTTACTGGTAGTCTCGAAACCCTACTCTAATACGAATATAAGATTTAATGAGTATGACGAAGATAAGTGTGTACGGATGTGGACAAAATGGCCAACGCCCCATGCCGGTAGCTGAGTGGGGATAACTTTTGGCTAATGAACAGGACGAGACTGAGCAAGATAGAGGGTTCAAGAAGAGGTACCGAGAAAAAGGAGGCCTGATCAGTTTCACACGCACTAAAAACAAGTAGAGTCCGCCCACGGATAGAGACAAAAAAATATGTGATTTTGGTTAAAACAACTCGCTGTATCCAGTTGCAATCATGCCAACGAAGCAATAAAAAACTTTCTAAATCATGAAGTGCTGCCTCTCATATTTATTATACGCTGGTCATCCTCAAAACCTATTTATAAAAGAAAACTAAGTAGTGTAGTGGATTTCTATGGCAAACACAACTTTGCTTAAACGACAATCTCCCTAGACAATGCCTGAACTTTCTCTCTATTTGCATCTGCTCTGCGACATCCAAGGTCTGGCGAAATGGGTAACGGGCTGAGGTTATACCCGCAATAAATGTGAATCAAAGTTGGGTTTCGACGAATCTCCTGACTCATTTGCTTGAATTTTGTTGTGACGATGATAGCCTCATTGCTCTGATGAGGTTCGTAAAATGACGCACGAAAGCTTAGCACCTTTTCACCGGAATCGGCGTCAGCATGAATGTTGCAATAAAGCCAATCGACAGCTGGTCAAGAGGAATCGGCCGTCGTCTTCTGGTGGAAGCGACCTCCGAATCTCTTCACCGCAAACTTTCACTCGAAATGGAAGTGAGCTTAACAAACTATGCTCGGATTCCGCTGGGCGTGTTGATGAGACCAGTAGGAGCTAGGTCAAAAATGCACTCTACTTCGGCCCAAATGAGGTAGCAAGGATACATGAGGCATACTAATCAGAGTTTGAGAAAAGTGAACTATCAGTCTTTCATCAGCTCAAACAGAATGGGTAGTATCATGTCTATCCCAGCGGTGCAGACGAAGGCTCAGAATGAATTCGTTGTGGCCACAGGACGGTGTTCTGCCGACTTTTTTGCACTATTTGTCGAACCTTCACTTTTCGATGGGCTCAACTCGAGAATTGCTTACATCTGCCCTCTTAAACAAACGAAAAAGGTACAAAAATATTAATCGAAGATGTGAAGACCAAGATGGCGTATCCTCCATTTTGCTCGCAGTCTCTTTTGGCAGCATAGAAGTGGTCTGACCTCGTTTCTTCAACTTGTTCCTGTTGTCAGGGCGACCCAAAAGGACGCAAATTCATGATAATTCCCATCATTGGACTGTGGACTTGGTACATTCCCAAGCATTTCGCCGACGGCTCTTAACAGCCGGCTGCAACTCATCAAATGGACAAATGAATTCCGTTTTATGAGAGGTAGTCTCGAAACTCTGTTTATATACGAAAAATGAGTGGATTCCGTCCCTTGTCGAAGTTAAGGCATGCCGATTGTGCTATCACTCCTCAATTTAGGTACATTTACTTATGCCTATTCTCGTGTTAAACTTCGGACTTGAGACAAAGTACATTTATCTAGGCCGTCCTGGCAACCCGACCAGGTTGTGAAAACGATTCTAAACCATTTGTATCCAATGCGAATGGAATACGACTGAAATAGTAGTCACAATTGCCTGCTTCTCACATCTCCACTAGACTCACTAAAAAGGGTACATTTATCGAATAATGGAAAATAAACATGTAAGCAATTGTGCTAGAAGGCAAGTGAGATAAAGGCATATGTGATCGGTAGATGTGCCAGGATAGAAGGTGGAGGAATGACCGAATCGTTTGGTAGAGAATGTCGGCGAATCGTCTTACAATTTATCATGACTACATGGCCACAAATGTAAAAAAGCCGAGCTCAAACTGCTTTAATAAAAGACTCGTCAAAACAGAGTTCACCACAATTTCTATTTAGATGATTTTCCAGCTTTCAATAATTTCAAGTTTTCCTGACACTAATCTTTTTGCCTCGTTTTTCCCAGTGCCGACCAGCGTCTGATCGAGCGACGAGAGGCCAGAGTGTTGGTCATGTCAGACGGAACACTTTCCTGGCTGCCTCAGGCCATGTACAAAAGCTACTGTGGCGTCGAGATCACCATTTTCCCTTTCGACACGCAGGTATGAGCCCTTTTTGCCCCATTCTCACGCTGCCCGTATGCACATGCGTCTCCCTGATTCTCTCCCGACTTGCACAGATTTTACCATTTCCTCCGGCCTAGCCATCCTGTGCCGATGTCCGCGATTGCTCATCCGGCTCGGTATCTCCTCGCCTCAAGCATCCGCCTTGACGACGCTGGTTGTTGAGCATCTTAATGCCAAATTGGGCACGATCTCGAACATGCTCCTCGCCAATCGAGCCATCACTACTCTGGCTGTTCTAGACTCGGTATTAAGGATGATGTGTGACTGAACACGTCGAATAGATGAGATATATTCATTCCATATTGTTGCCAAGGCGACTGGTAGTTGA